CATGGCTCTGCAGGGACACCCAGGACTTGGGGGAGCGGAGCCCAGGGCCTTAAGGAATTAAGCACTCGTGCAGAAGCTAGGCCCCATTTCTGATGACATAGGAAGCCAGTGTGCTCTGTGGTCCCCGTGCAGCGGAGACCAAGACTCTTAACCTGAGTCGTGTGGCTCCTCTGTCACTCTGGCCAGTTCTTCTCTTGGGCCTGGGACAGTCTAGGGATGCTCAGTCCTTAGCTCCACTGCTAAATCTCCTGCCTGTCCATTCTTGTCCTTGAGAGAGACCCAGCTGCTTCTGCTTCCCCAGGCTTCCTCTCCCGAAGTTGTGGCCACAGAGGGATCCTCTGTCCTGTTGTTGGGTTTTACATCTACCATTTTGAAGTGCACAGTTCAGGGGCAGAAAGTGTGGTCTTGTGTATCCAGGACCATTGTCCATCCCAGAACTCCTCACCTTGCAAAAGATGAACCACAGACCCCCTTAGACCCCAGTTTCCCATCCCTGGCTTCCCCCCACCCTGTCCCCAAGAATCTGACTCCAGTGACCTCACATAAATGGAGTCTTTCAGTGTTTGTCCTTCAGTGACTCAGTATCTCCCTGCGCAAATGTTCTCTGGATTCATCTATGTTGTAGCAGGTGTGAGAACTTCCTTCCTCTTCTGGGCTGTACAATATTCCTCTGTCCAGAAACGCTGAGCTGCCTCTGCCTTGGGCCCTCACTAATCAGGGACACAAATACCTGTTTCTGATCTCCTCTTGATCCTTGGCAGTCCACACTCAGAAAGGGGTTCTGTGTGTCATGCTTATTCCAGTAAGGTTGTGAAAAGCTGCCACTGAGCTGCCCCGGCACACACACTGCCCGGTGTCTCATCAGCAAAGTTTCCCCTGAGCTCACATTTCCCCGTCCTCCCAAATTCCTGTCCCTTCCGGTTCCTCAGCAGTTGTCCTAGGGCATGGAAAGCTCTGCTTTGTGCTTCCCTGCAGACGAGGTCGAGCCCCTCTCCACGCGCTGGCCAGGCAGGCCGAGGACGGGGCTCAGGACTGCTGTCTTGGGCGTCCCTTTCCCAGCCGTGACCCGGGAGCAGGGAAGCCGACACCTTGCCGTGGCACTGGGCTCATGGGGAGTGCTCAGCAGCCCAGCTGGTGGGCGGGCCAGGGGCCTCTTCTGCCCCAGAGCGCCAACCCTGTGGGCTTTCAGTCCCCTGGGCCCAGCCTCCTTCCACCTCCTCCTCACCTAGTCCGGTAGCATTCCGCCCTGCCCTCTGCCTTCTTTTCTTTAATTTTTGTTTTATTTTTAATTTTTTTGGAGTTAGGTATTCAGGCTGGCCTTGAGCCTGCAGAGATTCTCCTGCCTCAGCCTCCCGAGTGCTGGGATGACACTGTAAATGCCCACTGCCAGCTCTCCGAGCCACACTGTCAGCCCTATTTCCGCTGCTGCCCTTCCCGCGGGCTGCCCTTCCTAGGTCCCCTCCACACACGCTGGCTCCCCAGGAGTGGCGTGGAGCCAGAGGTGAGAGGGTGGTTGTCACAGGTGCAGGGACACAGCAGGTATGAGTGGGCCCCGGCAGGAGGAGGTAGGGGAACATTGTCTTGGGGACCCCGTCCTTCGGTACCCGGGAACTGTGTCTCCTGTGACCACGCTGAGGCGGGCAAGGGCTGTGCCCCTTCTCTTTGCACCCCAGGCTCTGTCACCGAGGGTCAGGCGGTGGCTCCGTCCCTGCCTCTGTCTCTTCCTCCTCCTCCTCCCCATCCTGGGGATTGAGTCCAGGGCGCTGCACCCCTTGTTTATTTTATTTTATTTTATTTCGAGACAGGGTCCTAAGTTTGCAGACTAAGTTTGGCTTGTGCCTTGTAATCCTCCTGCCTCAGCCTCCAGAGTGGCTATGGTGTCAGGTGTGTGCTGCCACGCCTGGCTTATTTCCACCGCAGTGCTTGGCAGAATCAGTCAGTGCAGAGGCAGCAAGTGCTCAGCGGCAGGGCCCCAAGGCGTGTGGCACCCGCCATCTGCGGTGCAAGGCAGAGGTGGTGATTGACGCTCAGCCTCCTGGCTGCCTTCTGGGCTCCTTCTCCCTCGTCACCATGACCTCCGAGACTTCCTGGCCGGTCCGGCTTTCAGAACCAAGAGCTCCAGGGCTGCCGAGATCTAGCTGCTTCACCACTGTGGGGCCTGCACTGTCCCGTGCCCTGCCCAGCACATGGTGTGTGCCCCGGGAATCTTGTCCAGTGAGTGAGCCTTTCCCGGTGTGACCCAGGGTGGTCCGCTGCCCACCAATGGGACACGGTGTCCCAGACAGTTAACTGGAAGGCCGAAGGTTTGTTTGGGCTCACAATTTCCAGAGGGTGCAGTCTGGGGTGTCTGCTGCCGGGCAGGAGCATCCTGGGAGAAGGGCTGCTAGGGGTCTGCGGCCGGGATGTGTCCCAGCTCTCTGGGAGGACCGCATGTCCCAGGCCAGTGCAAGCAATTTAGTGAGACCCACTCTCAAAATAAAAAGGGTTCAACCACCAGCACCGAAAAGACAGGAAATTCAGCCGCAGGGAAAGTCCTGTCATCCTGCTCCTCTTGTGTCCCAGGGGATTGAAGCCAGGGTGCTCTACACGAGCCACACCCCAGCCCTGCCCTTCCTGGGTGTCCTTTGGAGATTCCCAGGCCAGCCTCAAACCTTCCACCCTCCTGCCTCAGCCTCCCGAGTGTGCCGACGCAGCCTGGAAGCCTGGTCTGCTGCTCCTGCGGTGCTGGGACAGGACCCAGGGCCTCGGCCGTGCTGGGCGAGCCTTGGTCTTGGTCTTAGGGTCATTTCTTCCCACTCACAGGCAGCCAGGACAGGGGACCTGCTGAGCCCCTCAAGCTCTCCCCGCAGCGCCCTCACACGGTGGGCCTGGCGTGCAGGAGGCGCCCAGGAGATGCTTGCCCGGGGACGGATGAGGGGGTGGGCAGGTGGTGGCAGTGCTTCCCCAGGAGGCCGCTGACATCGGGGCTGCGCTCCTCCCTCACCATCCTCCCCCGTGACACTTCGACACGTCTGGGGAGGCAGGCGCAGCTCTGAGGCTGCCCAGGGCCTTGCCAGGGCCAGGACCTTTGTCCTGGCCGCGCCCAGTGGTGATAGCACGGGTCCTGGGCCGGGACAAAGATCAGCTTCGACTGCCAGCCCCAAGGGATAGGGACTCTGATGCAGGCAGCCTCTCAAATTTGCAACGATCCTCCTGCCTCAGCCTCCTGAGTGCCGAGATTACAGGTGTGCTCCACCATACCTGGCTCCCAATATTTTTTCAAAAATTTTATTTTGAGACAAGATCTCGCTAAATTCCCCAGGCTGGCCTCCAACTTGCAATTCTCCTGCCTCAGCCTCTTGGGTAGCTACCGGTCACGGTGGTTTTTTTTTTTTTTTTTTTTTTTCTTTTTATCGGTACCAGGGATCGAACTCATGACTGCCTGCTTGCAAGGCAGGCGCTTATGCTGCTGAGCTAAATCCCCAGCCCCTGTCACGGTGGTTTTCACAGGACCCTCGGCACCCAGCCTGGTCACTCTGTCCTTTCTCCTGCGCCCACCTCTCCCCAGGGGTCAGCACCCTTTATCTCTCTTTCTCTGCTGCCATCCCTGGCACCAAATTCAAGGTCACAAGGCTGGTTCCGTGTGTCAGCCTTCTTTCATCTCTGCCCACGGCTCTCGTCAGGCAACCGCATGGCATTGGCACCACGGCCGGGCCTGCCCTTGAGCTCTTTTAGGTCAGCACCACGCACATCTGGACCTTGAGGACCAAGTGGCTCAGGAGCCACTGGTGGAGGCCGGCGGGTGAGATGCTCAGGGCGGGCAGGGACTGAGGGAGGGGCTGGGTGGCAGCTAAGTGGCTCCTTTCCAGGAACCTCCCAGCACAAGGCTGATGAAAACTCCGGGAATTCAGTAAAGGTGTATTAATCAGTGCTTTGTCACAGGATTCCTGCAGGACTAACTGATGCGCCCTGCATATGCCGAGCATTACATATGGAAGCATAGGGACAGAGTGGGTGCCTTCCTCCAGAAAGCACATAAACAGAGGCAGTGACTTGCAGCAGGTGGGAGGTCCCCTGGGAGAGGAGTCAGCCACCCACGACCTAGGGAGAGAGCATTTTAGAAGTGAGAACAGCAAGTGCAAAGGCCGTGGGGTGAGAACTGTCTCAGGAGCAGGGAGAAGGTGGGGGCACTGCTGTGAACCAGGAGAAGGGTCAGGGCACAACACATTCCGGGCACTGTACCGAGCTGGCCACGTGTCCCCAGCACATCAGTCCTCACCACAGCCACGGGAAACAGCCTTCTAATCCCCACTAAGCCTGGAGTCTCCAGGCAGTCCTGCTCTGGGGTATGTGTGGGGGGTTTTTGATTCCCTGTGCTGACCCTGCTGACGCCAGGGCCCAGCCATGTGGAGGCCCTGGGTTGGCCAGGCCTCGGAGCTAAACTGCAATGTTGAGCCCAGGCTGGGCACCATGGCAACTCCGGGAGACCCTGTTTTAAAAAGAAAAATAAAACCAACCCTAGAGATGCAGCTCAGTGCAAAGGCCCAGGGTCAAGGAGGTAACATGCGAGGTGGTGTTGGGTGTTAAGGCTGAGGCCGGGGTGGCCTCTCTGATAAGGGACCCAGGGCTGAGCGAGTGGCAGGAGTGTGCTCCCGTGGTCCGGTAGGCCCGTGTGGAGGACGTGGGCACCAAGCAAGGAGGTGGGGGTCTGAGTAGTGGCCACTGACCAGGCTCTGGGGGCCGGGGGGAGCTGACCAACGCCTCCAGAGTCAGGAGGTGAGTTGCTGCCGATGGCCGGGGGAGCAGGCTCGCGGGCCACACTGAGAGCTCTGTACACCCGGCTCCCGCCCAAACCCGGGCCGGGGCGGGGCTAGGGAGGGAAGTGGGCGGGAATGATCTGGCCCGTCCCCCATACCCTATCACCAATCACCACTCCGTATCGCGCTCCTCGTCCCGCCCATCCCGGCCTCGCCCCGCCCAGTCCCCGCCCCATCCCCGCTCCCTGCCCTCCGGCCCCCGCGCCCCGGCTGTCGGGGGGCGGCGCGCGGCGCAGGCCATGGCGCATAAAGCCGCGGGCCGCGGGCAGGGCTGCTGCTCCGCGCTCCACCGACCCGGGCTCGCCGTGCCGAGCCCCCCGTGCGCCAGGGCGCGCAGACATGGGCGGCCGATCCCGAGGGCGCAGGGCGGCCGCGGCGCTGGGCGTCGCAGGGCTGCTGTGCGCGGCGCTGGGCGTCGTGATGATCATCCTGGTGCCCTCGCTCATCCGGCAGCAGGTCGCCAAGGTGGGTCTGGCCGGGCTGGGGACGCCGGGCCGTCGCCGACCCCTGGGTGCCAGGCTGGGGCGGGGGGCGGCGCAGGCCCCGGGAGGGCTGCGTGTTCGACTCGTGTCCCGCGCGCCAGTGAGGCTGGGAGCGTGCTTCTGGGGGTCCTGGGGGTCCTCCGGGGCCTCCCCAAACGGGGGCTCAGCAGGGACCCTCCGAGCCAGGGTCTGCCCGGGAGCCCTGCTCCGAGGCGGCAGCAGCCAGCCGTGCACCCCCGCTCTGCCTCCTGCGCGTGGGCGGAGAGGCTAAGCCGCTTTTCTCGCGGCGCGGTCTGGCCCAGAGACGCGGGCGCTGCTCCCCGTCCCCATGCTGGCCTTGCTCACCCTCGCCCTGTTAGCCGGGGAGCCGCACCGGGGCCTTCGGGCCACCAGACTCTGCCCTCAGTGGCCTGGGCAGCTGGGCGGCCGGCCTGGGTTCTCCAAGCCTGGGGCTCCGCAGAGCACCACGCGGGAAGGACCTGACGGGAGGGAAACTGAGGTCGGCCTTGGCGAAATTCCAGCTAAGGTCAGAGCTGGGGTGTAGATGTGGCTGTTGTCATGAGTTGATGGCTCTTCCTCAGCTGAGCTTCTTAAGATTGGGGACTTTTCCTCCCTTTGCCCCTCTGCCCTGGACCCAGAGGTGGTGAATGGAGGGTCTGGTGGTTTCCATCTGGCTCTGTCGCGTTTACCCTCTTCCCCTATGCAGGTCCCCAGGAAAGCCACTGTTCCCTTTCTGTGTCTTGAAGGTCTAAGGCTTGTCCCAGTAAATCCTCCGAGGCAGCCTAGAGGAGCCCAGGGGAGGGGACCAAGCTGCCCCTTCCTCCTGCAGGGCTGCCGGGGTTGCTGTGATCCTTCTCCAAGTAGCGGTGCGAGTTTTATCTCTGCTCCAGGGCCTCCTGACCTCCCCCCACCCCGTGTGTACACAGTGCGCACCCAGCGGGCGCGGGGTGCCTCTCCCCAGAAGGCCCGCCTAGCGCGGGATAGCACATGACCATGCAGGGAGCGCTCAGTCTGCTGGGCTCCACCGAGGTGCCAACCTGGCCCGCCCACTCCTGGGCTTTTCACGGGCTGTCCTCTCCCCCTGGCTGTTGTCTAGCTGCGATGTTACCTGTGGGTGTGCGGAGGCTGGAGCGCACAGCCACCCCTCACCCAGTTCCTCATGGCTCTGGGAGCCTCTGAGCTCAGGGCTTCCACCGAGTGACACCCTTTGCAGGAGATGGGGGGTTGCTGTAGGACTGCATGGGGCGAGCGTGAGAGATAGGAAGTCACACCCAGCCATGCTTAGCCTGGCGCCTTCCAAGCCAAGGAGGCGCCCTGGGGGTGGAGCGCGTGGGATGTGGTGCCCGCTGGTGCCCGCCTTGGCTGCTGGTACTGGGGGCTGCTGAATGGAGGCCTTGTGCTTTGATTTTTATTTTATATGCTTCTTTTGGCTTAAAGAAGGTCATAAAAGCCATGAATATTGGCTTGTAACAAATTCAAACAGAGGGAAAAGGAGAAAGTTGCTTGTGTTTTATTCCCTCTTTAGATATGCCTTGCCATTCCGGCCTTTGTAGAGATGCGCTCAAACTTGAAGTCCTCCTGCCTCGGCCTCCCAGAGTACTGGGATGGCAGGTGTGAACCACCATGCCCACAGCTTGCCCACACATGTTTGTCTTACAGGTGTTGTTGGGGCTCACTCACAAGGCCCAGGGCCCAATGCTGCCAGGCGAGCACTCTGCACCCAGCCCCAACGTGGCTGTATATTTTTTATCTGTGTGTGTGTGTGTTTGTGTGTGTGTCTCCCGGTACCACAGCTTGGGGCTTGCCAGTGTGTTAAGCGGCTGCCTCTGTGCCCTGAGGCATGTGGGATGAGAGAGCTCTCCTTTCCCTGTCACTGTTGACTGACCATATCCTCCAGACCTGGGTGCCCAGAGCCCCCTGGCACTTTCCCTGGCACCAGCACCCCACTCCTTCCGTCCCTCGCCTGGCTGTGATTTGTGTTTCTCAGGTTGCATTGAAGAGGAACGGGGCCTGATGCACCCTGAAACCTGCCTCAAGGCCCTGGGGCGGGCTTCCTCTACCAGAGGGGCTGGGGCCTCAGCCTCCAAGCCAGGCCTCCTTGGCTGTCCTGTGGGTCAGGCCCGGTTGGCCTCCCAGCGGGATTAAACAGACAAAGGCGATTACAAGGGTGTGAAAATGCCCTGCGTGTAGTTTGTGTCTCATCCGTTCCCACACCGGCGGTGGAATCCCTGCTTCCTAAGGAGGAAGGATCCAGGCTGGGGCAAGGTCGGCGGCTGGAGGCCACGGTCACAGCTGGGGCAGACAGGGATCAGGAATGCTGAAGGCCCTGCCTGCCCTTCCACGAGGGAGAAGGTGGGGGAGCTCCTTGTCCAGTGGATTTCTAGGCGAATGTTAGTCAGCAAGAAGGAGCTAGAGATGCGTGGCCGGGTTGTAGAAGCACATCGAGAACTGAATAAAACAAAAACTATCAGACGCTAGTTCAACAGGTTCGTAGTCGTGGACATAAAAATTCAGACAAAGCTCTGTGGGGATGTGCACCAGACGACAAAAGGCACAGGAAAGAAACTAGACCAGAGGTTGGCAAAAAAAACAAAGCTAACGCCTTGTCCACTGTGCTGTGGCTTTTTATTTCGCTTATCTACTTTTCTGTCTTTTTTAAAGTTCTTTTTGAGACAGAGTCTCACTCTAATTCAGCTGGCCTTGAACTCGCTTCGTAGCCAGGCTGGGCTTTAACTCACAGCCATCCTCCTGCCTCAGCCTCCGAGTGCTGGGATCACAGGTGTGCCCCATGCGTGGCTGTTTTTCTGTCTTGTTTTGGAACAGTCTTGCTATGCAGTCCAGACTGGCCTTGAAGTTTTGGCGATCCTCCTGCCTCAGCCTCCCGAGTGCTAGGATTACGGGTGTGCGCCACCACACACCTCGGAGGCCGAGCCCCCTCTGCTTTCCCCTGGGTGGGACTCAGGGTTGGAATCGGAAGCTTCAAGGCCTCCCTGTCCCCTCAGCCCGTCACTGTCCCCTGCTCACTTGGCCATGCCGTCTCTTCAGTCCTTCCCCCCCTGCTGGGAAGCTGGTCCCACGCTGTCCCCCTCCCCTAAACGCCATGTTCTCCTTCTCCCTCTGAACGCAGGTCTGCTGGGGGAGGTTCATCTGGGTGTCCCCAGTGGCTGGGCTCACAGTGGCCCCCGAATGCCTCAGTGGCTGAGGGACTGGGGCAGGTTGTCCCTCCCTGCCTCTGCCCGGCACTGGGACCTCAGGTTCTGTTTCATCCTCTCCTGGCTGGGCGGGGGCCGTGCCGGACCCTGGGGAGCCTGGCACAGTTATGCTCTGTGACCTGGGCCAGTCCCCAGGGATGTTGGCGGATAACGGCCCCCAGGCGCATGTGTTCTGTGGCTGTCACAGATGGCAGGGTGTGCTTTGTGTGGTTTTATGCATTTTATGTGGACCCTAAATAGCTACTGCGGCCTCTGAGGGAAGCGAGCATGAAGTACACATTGCACCCTCAAGGCTCTGACAGGACAGGGTCCCCTGCAGGCAGCAGACTCCGAGGCTGGCTCCGGCCACCCGTGTCCCCGCCACCTTGTCTCTGGCCTCAGTGTCATCATCGGGAGTAGGGGGGACAGGGACACAGCTGTCTCTGTGGCCAGGGCCAGCGGGCGGTGACTGCATCAGGCCTCTCCTGTGATTGCCCCAGGGCCCAGGTGCCACCTCCTCCACTGTGTCACAGCTGCAGACTCGGGGAGCAGCCAGACACTCAGTGAGGCGGCCTCTTGTGGGCTTGGGGACTCCGTGAACCTGGGGCCTGAGCCCCCTGTGTCCGGCAGGGTCACCTCTGTCCCTCTTGTCACCATGTTGGAACATCAGGCTGCTTCCCATAGCAGGGGCACTGGGGCGCAGGTGTACCCCGATTGTTCCTTGTCCCCCGTCTCCTGCTGGCAGCTTCCTGTTCCTCCTGGGTGGCCTCCGCAGGCTGCGGTTATTTTTAGTTTCCCTGAGTGGTTTCTTCTGGTTTCCTGCTTGGCTTCTGTGGATTTGCTTGTGTGTATGTGTGTACACGCGTGGGTGTGCAGAGGGGCGTGTACACGTGCCGTGGCCAGCCTGGGCTCCACAGTGGGTTGTGCACACACAGTTTCTGAGGGCATGCATGTTGGTGCGTGTGCCTGCCTGCACATGCCAGGAGTCCCGTGTGTGTTGATGCAGGCTGGGCTTGTTAGGACCCAGGTGTGCGCGTCCCTTCTGAAGCCGCTTGGCCGGAGCTGTGCGCCACCTGCGTGGATCTTCAGGTTCCAGGAAGCCTGGCCCCTGCTTCCTGGTGGGGGCGGTGCTTTGCGTCCCTGCTCCCCTGCTGAGAATCTGGGCTCAGCTACCTGGAACCCCCGGCCCACCTTGGACTCGAGCCCGTGGGGCAGAAGTGGCTCAGGATCGGGGCCTTCCATCCTCTCCTGGGTGCATCTGGGTGCCCATGTGGGTGGCATGGGTGGCGCCTGCTCTGATGACACCAGGCATCCAGGGCGCTCTCGTGTGCGTGGCGGCAGGGGAGAGGCCAGGGTCGGCACCGGCTTAGCCCGAGGACAAGGGCAGGCCCTGCTGTGTTTAGAAGAAGGAATGTACTCCGTGTCTCCTCCTCCATCCGATCAGCTGCAGCGTGGCCTCCCCTGACCCCAGCAGCGGCCAGGCTGGCCGGGCCTAAACAACCTCAGGGTCCAGGCTGCTGCCACAGCCTGGTGGCCTGTCTCTGTCCTCTGTCCTTGGCCCACCCTGTCCTGAGCTCCCCAAATCCTCTTCCCCTGGCCCCACTCACCATCCCTCCCTACCGGGGTGGAGGGGCAGGGCTGCATGACCCTTGTTCACTTCCTGGCATTTTGAATGAGGTCCTTCTGCCTTCCCGGAAAGCTTCTAGGAGGGCTTTTGAACCACTTTGTTTATTTACCTTTGTTTGTTTTTTGAGACAGGATCTCACTGTGCAGTTCAGGCTGGCCTTGAACT